GCTAGCGTCTAGGGTAACCTTGGATCCCAGGCTTCAGACAGGTCGATCGAAAGCTGCTTTTTCGTCGGCCATAAGCACAGTTGCCGTCTTTCCTAAGGACAGCGATGGGGAGAGCAGATCTCCGCAGCCACAATCCAACCCATCCTCCGCTACCCCAACGGAGAATTCCGATTCCCAGACTAAGCCGGGGAGTAAGCGGCGTGTTAAGTTACAGTTAAATGAGCTAGCCAATAACTTTGTTGCTGGCGCCTCCTTAGCCCAGATAGAAGTCAAGGAGTCACCTGTAACGGCTGTAACCCCAGGCGAGAGATCCTATCTCCTAGACCCACGGCTTAAGCGTCGTCGCGTAGTCCCTCTCGAACAGCCACAGGAACACCAATCACCAGAACAGCATTCCGCTCCCCGAACAACAATGAAATCCCCTTCTGACGAGATTTCGGGTTCAGCAATGCAAATCGCCATAAACGGCACTGACAGTGGACAACCCGCGTAGTTTACTGTCTACAGCGCTCCTTCAGTCTTTCTCTATCCCTCCGGCTGCCCACTGGTGGCATGTGTGCACCTGCGTACATCCCCGAACGCGCCGAATGCGCCCGCATGCCTACCCTAATGTCCTGTAAATTGTAGAGGTGCTGCAAAAGCGTGTGCTAACGCGGCCGGATGTGCGTAGGGTGCACAAAAAGCCCAGCCGATATCCCTTGCGCACACGCCAATGCCAGTGACGATATGCGCGTGCGGGAGTAAGGCGGGGCTGGCTTGTAATTACATGTATAAATGTTTGAAATCTTTCTATTTGTGCAAAAAGAAGTCGCTTCGCGTGCTGCTGCTGTTGTCCTCATACTTGGAAGTTGCCATATTGTCGGTTCCAGGCGAGGTACTGGTCGAGATCTTTCGGAGAAACGCTTGCCTTTACATGATTGAACGCCATCTCGAAGTCCACCATGCGTACCGGTGGTACCTAGGAATTGCAGCAAAATATTAACAAGTAGATGCTCAAAAAGCGTGAGTAGGATTATGGTTGCATGTAATGCACTTGGGCGTAGCGTTTACCTCACTACAGGCGATGGATTGGATAACTTCGATGGATAGATTTCTGATTGGGCCCATTGCTGCCTCTCTACACAAGTTCGCTACATCAGCGCCGGAGAAACCTTACGAAAATAAATGAAAAGCACCTAAGATAAGAGACTTCCAAATATAACGTCTG